AGTCATAATTTATTCTTTGTGTGTTAGCAAATCACAGCAATAGAATGGATGAGAAAAACGTCTAGAGAAAAGCACAATACTGTTCCAATACATGTATCATTGGTCATTTGGCACCATGAATTACACTTAAGGGTAACTCAGTTTGAGCTTTTAACCACCTTGAGATGCACCTATTAATAAAGAAATCCTTGAAAGATGAATTAACTGGTTTTTTAGTACACAATCTAGGTTTCTCTTTAGTTCCTACAAGATTATTTAATCACACATTCAATACAGTGAAGCACATATTTTCACTTTAATAAATTCAATTAAGGACCATCATTTAGAGGTCAGTGTGATGTCGTTCCGATTGGGAACGGCTATAAAGAACGACATGAACTCACAAGGGAGTTTCAACACGAGAATTCTCTAGTTTATTGCTTCAGGCCTGTCTTATAGACAGATACGTGGAAAGTACAGAAAGGAAACCCTTATTGGTTAGCAAAGTGCTACAATATCATCATAGGTCAGGGGCTCACTACTCCCCTGACTCTCTCCTGCAAGAGAAAACAAGAGGACTGCAAAACAACACCTGCAAGGCTGTTTAGTGTCCCTGAGAATTGTTTTAATTCCTTCTCATATTTTTCCCAGGCTACTTTCTCAGGCAGCCTGAGGAGCTATGCGGCCTGTAATTTGTACAGGCACTGTGGTTCAGATTTAGCATCCATAATTCACCCTTTCTGTTAGAAAAAATAAATGCAGTGTTTGTCACGTCCTGCTGGGCCCTTGCAGGAGAGAGAACAAACACAGCACAAGAGGTTTCTTTGCTAGAACTTTGAATGGATGCTGATCTAGAATTAATCTAGAATTTTGGCTTACGTTTTGGTATTTAAGAATTGTTCTCCTTGCAAGGACTTGATGGTTGAGTCTAATATTTCCAATTCAGTGAATTAATACACACACTATACAAAACACTGTTAGTCTGTTCGAATTGACAGTCTAACATGTCAACAGAGTAGTTTGAAAGAACACTAAAGTGATAAAAACAATGCACAATGCAATTTATGATGCTTTGATCCCCTCTTCTTATCTCGTTTTGTTGTTTTTTTCTTTTTTTTTTTCTTCCATTGGATTTTCTCTTCAAATATAATTGAGAGGTTTTTGAGGGATTTATAAAGTTTACATGGCTGCTGTTGTTATTTCTTCAGGCTGGTGCGGAAGGTCCCTGCAGAGGGGCCTGCCGCTGTCCTTCCTTCCCCCCGCCACCTTTATGGGTGCGGGGGCGGGGGGCTGGTAAAACTCGGATAGGGAGCACAGCACGGTTCACTCTGCCCCCTCCTGCGCTTCCCCGCTAGCGCACGGGGGGAGCGCGAGGGTGAGCGCAGGGCTAGCGCGTCCCGCGCACACGCGGGGCGAGCAAGGCCTCC